TATACAACAAAACACAAACACACACCCACACGTGTCTTACTTGTTGAAGAGGTGGTTGTTGACTTTGACTTTAGTATTGGCTTTGAAATCATCAGGCAGCAGCATGACAGGAATAGGAACCTGGCTGAGATCATTAACCTGCCGAAAGAGGAGAAAATCACCAAAACATCAACAATAAAGCTGCAACTCACATTTTTAAAACTAGCAATTCAACAAAGCACAAAAAGGAAGAAAACTTGTGTTAGGACAGTCAATTATTTCTTAGCTGCAACAATACTGTTTGGCAAAAAATCTAACTAATAGCAATTCAGTTCCATTCAGTTTATTTGTATAGCGCCAAATCACAACAAAGTTTTCTCAGGGCACTTTACAGGAACATTCACACACATAAAAAAGTCAATTAGTAAAGTTCTCTGAGGAATCCAACAGACAAGTTGAATCTTGGCTTCATTGCTGTCTCCCATCCCGAGCAAGCACAGTGGCAACGGTGGAAAGGAAAAACTCCCTTTAACAGGAAGAAACCTCCAGCAGAACCAGGCTCAGGACAAGCGGCCATCTGCTTTGACCGGCTGGTTTGAGAGGACAGGAAGGAGAGACAGACAAACACAGAATGGCAGATCCAGATGTAGGTCCAGGTGTACCTGAAAGACAAAAAAAACAGCATGTTAAGGATAGAAAAAATAATTACAAATACTAAACAGGTTGAGCAAAGCCCCCAGTATACTCCCGCCTACGTCCATACGCGGAGATACAAATGTACGTACGCGGAGGTATGAGCGTACCCCCCGCAGAGCATGTCGGGCAAAGCTCAATTTTTACGACCGCGTACGTGGTGTCGCACAATAAACTGCCTGGCAATGGACTGTTTTGTATGCGACACCAATGTATTAAATTCCCCTTCTTCATCCCTGATCTGGCATTTTCTTTTGTTTTTTTGCCAAAAGGCAAGTGATCTCTTCCTCCTCCGTTGATGCCATGACTGAAAATGGTGAGAAATGAAAGAATTATAAAGAAAAATAAAGAAAGTGAATCATAAATTCAGGTCCAGTGTGGCTGCGGGAGGGTCTGGAGATCTCCTGTTGGGCTGGTCTGATGTGTGAGCTGCAGGACAAGCGCTCAGTTTTTTTTTTTTTTTTTTAGATCTTTTTATTAACAAGATATAAACACAGAACACTGCTGCAGCTGAGGCTGCCAGATCTTGTTTTTTTTTCCCCGACCTGTCAATCAATCCAGTAGGCGTGTCAGCAAATGACCAATCGGCGACCTCAATTTGTCCCAAAGGTAAACGACCCTTGTCTGTGGAGCTGACTGCAGCCATTCAGGGTGTACGCTCAAGTATGAAGTCTGAACCCTCTGTGTACAGTACACGCGTACGTACGAGTGAACGGACGTACAAGGGAGTATACTGGGGGCTTAAGTAAAGACAGTAGCAGAGTGAAAAAATGTGGTCACTTTGCCCTCCAACAGTCTAAGCCTATAGCAGCCTTAGCATAACTAAGGGACTGCTCAGGAAACCCAAGCCAACCCTAACTACAGGATTCAGCAAAAAGGAGAGTCTTAAACCTAGTCTTAAAACTGGACAATGTGTCAGCCTCACGGACAGAGATTGGAAGTTGGTTCCACAAGAGAGAAGCCTGATAACTGAAAGATCTGCCTCCCATTCTGTTTTTGTAAATTCTAGGAACCACAAGTAAACCTGCAGCCTGAGAGCGAAGTGCTCTGTTAGGAAAATATGGAACAATAAAATCTTGAATATAAGATGGAGCTAGGTTGTTGAGAGCTTTGTAGGTTAGAAGTAGGATTTTGAATTCTATTCTGGATTTGACAGGGAGCCAATGTAGAGAAACTAAAACTGGAGAGATATGATCTCTCCTACCAACTCCAGTTAAGACTCTGTCAGCAGCATTTTGGATCAACTGAAGACGTTTAAAAGAAGTATTTGGACACCCAGATAATAAACCATTGCAATAGTCCAGTCTAGACGTGACAAATGCATGAATCAGTTTTTCTGCAACATTTTCTTGATAAGATGTTTTTAATTTTAGCGATATTACGCAGGTGGAAGAAGGCGGTTCAAGTAACGTTTTTAATGTGGGGGATAAAAGATTACCGACTGGAAGGTTTGTTTAGGGTGCATTCGCACCAGCCCTGTTTAGTCCACTTTAATTGAACTTTAGCTTGTTATCCTAGGAAGTCCGGTTCGTTTGGGGAGGTGTGAACGTGCCACCGAACTCTGTCACGGAATAAAAAGGCGAACTCTGGCCTGGGCTAAAACCTAGGTCCTTCATGATGCAGGTGACCCACTTCCTGCATCTGGAGGTGTAGATATCTGTTATGGTGGGGACGCTGACTCCAACAGCGCATCCAACCCCCTTGCTCCTTCTGAAATCCACGATCATCTCTATCAGCTTCACATTGATGTGATGGTTGTTCTTCCTGCACCAGCTCTTCAAGTGTTCCTCCTCCTGCCTGTAGTCGGATTCAACATTGTTTGCGATGCATCCAACCACCGCTGTGTCATCTGTAAATTTTAAAATTTTACAATATGACAGCCTGGATGGGTAGGTGCGCAGTCATACTGTATGTACGCAGAGTGAACACACAGGGCTCAACAGACAGCCCTGAGGGGAGAAAGTGCCGAGGGTTATGGCCTCCCTGTGCCTTCCCCGATAGCTCACTGCAGCGATCCGCCAGAAACATTTTCTAGCTGGAAGGCTGAGTCCGGCATGTTGCTATTAAGCCATGTTTCCATGAGACAAAGAAGAGCACAGTTCCTCATCTCCTCTAAGGTACTCGCTCTCAGTCCCTACAGATCCAGCTTGTTTTCAAAAGAGCGGACGTTGGCCAGGAACAGAGATGGGATCGGTAGTCTGTTAGCATTAGCCTTCAGTCTCGCTAACACACCGGCCTGTTTCCCTCTCTTTTTCCCCCGGGCACAGCGCCTCCTCCCCTTCTAGTGCTGTTATCTCCACGCTGATGTCCGTAGAAGCTTCAATCTGCCAAGCGTAGTTAATAGATTGTTTTAAATCGCTGCTACATCCGAAGTCAAAACTTCTCTAATGCTAAGTTTGGTTCAGCTATAATTCACACTTAGGGTGCATTCACACCTGATAGTCCGGTAGACTCGGTTCAGTTGGGGACCAATATTCATGACATTTTGTTTACATTTGAGCTGCTGCGTTTGCATTCACACTGCACTGTGCAGTCGAGCCAACCTGTTGAACCAACCTATTCCCCCGCTCGCCTGTGGAGGCGCTGCACCAAGAAATACTGAAAGAAACAACACAAAAACCTCTGAAGACACTTCTTCTTCTGGAAATAAAAACAAAACCAGAGTGGCATCAAATTTTAGCAGTTTTAGGAGTTATATTTTGTCATTTTTCAAAAATGGACTCAGCATGAGCAGAAGATGAGGCAGAAGACCATGGAGAACATTGTTTTTCACACAAGGCAGCTGACGGCTCCATATAAGGAAAGAGAAATGCGTGCTTGTTTGCCCTGCGCTGTACTCCACTTCTTGCTTGTGGAGCCGGGCTCGGTCTGTTTACATTCACACTGTACTGGAATGGCGCTGGAGTTCTCTTCTACCGGACCGAGACCTAGGTTTTAGCCGGGGCCAGAGTTTGCCTTTTTGTTCCATGACAGAGTTCAATGGCGCGTTCACACTTCCCCAAACAAACCGGACTTTCTAGGAAAACAAGCTAGAGTTCGATTAAAGCGGACTAAACAGGGCTGGTGTGAATGCACCCTTTAAGAAGCTTTGTGCTTTCTGTAGACGAGCTTCACACAATTCCTGTTCTGGAGACACACGGACGACAGCCATGTCTTTCTGGATCCACACAAGGTCACAGTGGTTTGATGATGTACCTGTGCATAGTATGGATGATGTTTCTTCAGGTGAACGTCACTGCCTGCCTCCACAGCCTGCTGGATGCTGCATGTCCTATATTTGTAAGGAAACTTTCTCCAGGCAGCAGCGATCACACATTGAGTCCATCAGCAGATGCTCCAAGTTCAGGGAAGTTGGTGTTTATGATGAAACCACATTTAACTTTTAGATCTTTGTACTGCTAGCTGTAATTTTAATGTTTGCCTTTTGAGCATCATCCTCATGATTCACACTCCATTTTGTTTGAACTGAGTAGACACAGTGTCGCTCAGCATGACCCACGGTCAAGGCCGGATTAACCATATGGGCAACTGGGCAACTGCCCAGGGGCCCATGATCTCTAAGGGGCCCAGGGCAGTGAGGGCACAGGCAAAATATCTGGTTATCTCCTGCTTTACTTGGAGTCCTGCGCTGCACAGACTGCTGTGCTTCCACTGCATTTGGGCAGCCCCGCCTCCTCCCAGCGCGGCTGCTGCAGCTCTCATTTTTATTTTCTATCGGATCCTCAACTGTGCGACCTGTCAATCAACTTAGAAGGCGTGTCAGTAACTGACCAATCGACAGCCTCAATTTGTCCCGAAGGTAAACGCCCCATTACCTGCTGACAAGCTTATCAGTTTTTTTTTTGAGAAACATTGTTTTAATTAAAACAATAAGTTTGTATCTGTTGTGAGATGATTTTAGCAGTTTTGCAGATTATCTACTTAATGAAGAATAGTACGACTTAAAAATGTTCATCAAACAGGAAGGAAGGTTTATTATCCCTCCTTTTACTACAGTGAATGTGATACTTTGCTATAAGTACGACTATATTTATGGCTTCAGAGAAAGCTGAGCTTAAGTTATCCACATAAAGTAAAATGTTATCAGCATCAAAAGAAGGAAAGTTAAGTTTGAGATTAATCCAGTTTCTGATGTCTGACCAAAAACTTTGTACTGGCATTCAAATAAAAATTGTTCGAGGGATTCATCTTCTGATTTACAACAGGCACACAAATTAACATCAAATTTAAATATTCTTTGCAGAAACATGGCTACAGCATATATCTTATTTATTATTTTAAATTATTCTTCACTTTAGGAGATTTAGACCATTGGACAAATCTAGAATGAGCAGAAATAATTATGGTTTTATGATTTATACTGGGAGGTTTCTTGAAGGAATCTTTGTTATACTCAGTAAATCCTTTGTCGTAAACATTCATTGATAATAACAAAAAAGGTTGAATCATGTCATCTGGACTTCGTT